CAAGAGGAAAATAGGAAGTCCATGCTGAAGTCGCAGAACTTGACCTCTGTCACTTCACACTTGATTCCTTTCTCCCTGTGTAAACCCTGGTCCCCAGTAACAACCTCAGGGTACCTCTGCCACCCCACATGGTTTTAGGGGAGCTGTGCCCATCTCCCCACCCTCTCCAAGCCTGCTAGGTCGCGTTTAGGATTTCTCCGCAGACCTGCTGTCCTTAGGGACCAAGGGTGTGAGGTCAGGGTGCTGACCTCCCAGGCCACTTGAGTGGCCTCTTTTCTACGTGAATGTGGCCATGTTCCGATAAAGCTTGATTCACCGGAACAGGCAGCGGGTTGGTGTCTCCCGAGGGTCACTGGTTGCAGCCCCCTGGCCCAGAATGTCAGTGGTTCCTGCTGCAGGGCAAGCAGCTAGTGGAGAGTCCTGCTGGGACCACAGGGGCCGGGGGGGGGGGGGGCGGGCAGGAAGCACCGGGCCTTTCAGCACCCAGAGGAGGGGCGCGATTGGGCTGGTGGCCGGTGGCCCTTTCTTCGGCACAAGCAGGTTAGAGGCCTCTTAGAGGGTAAGCTGCCCCCCCCCTTCTGGGCCCCCAAGACTGACCAGTGATGAGAGGAGACACCTGGAGGTGAGAAAGGGGGAGCCCTGGCCTGGGGTGGGGTGCCAGGTGGGCAGCGTTTCCACCGGCCCTGGTTGGGTGGAAAGGAGACCTGGGCGGGCGGCCGGCCTCCCCCGGCCATCTCTGAGATCCCCTCTGGGCCAGCAGACACCCCATTTGGAAAACCAAGTGAGCTGTGTGTGGCTTGTCAGCACCGCCCCCAAAGGCAGCTGGGGCTGGGCCTCTGCCGCCTGCCTCCGCCCCCAGTGCTGCGCTCAGCTTCCCCAGTCTGCCTCGGGCACTGTGGTGCCTCGTGTCACTGCTTCTGCCCGGGGTGCCCGGGTGCCCAGCGGGACTCCCAAGATCTGGCTCCTGTGAGCAGGCTCCTGGCATGGGGAGGGGCCCTGGGGAGCCCGGAGGGAACTGAGGAATGAGGGGTGGGGGCTGCTGTGCCGTCGTTCCTGTGTACCCCCCTCCTCCCACCCGCCTCACCACTGGGCTTGGCGGGTTCACACAGGCCTTGTGCAAAGCCCTTTGGGCCTGGAGACAGACTTGTTATGCCTCTGGAGAAATGAGTCTGGATTTCTACCGCTGACTTCTCTTTTAATTAGATTCTGACAGCAGCACGCAGGCCTGGCAGGCTGCAAATTCAGGTGCAGCTTTGTGTGGTCCCAGGCCTCGCGGTTGCAGTGCGGTTTGGCGTCTGGAGGCAGAAATACTCCTTTTCTGCCGGAGCCCGGCAGGAATCTCAGTGCACACTTGGGAGCACACCCGCCTTCCCCACGGTGCGTGCGCTCGACCACTCATGTACAAATGTGCGAGCCGCCTTTGGAAAAACGTGGAGGAAGCACATTGGGCGCCCCTCCACCCTCCTCCCCATCCTCTCGTCCATCTATCCACCGAGGGCGGGCACTCTGGGGAGCTGGGCTGGGCCGCAGCGTCCCCTCTGTGACCGGGCTAGTGGCCCCTCGGGAGGTGTCCTGTTTGAACCAGGTGCCCTGCCTGTGTGGGAGCCCCCGGGAGGGCTGACTGTAGTGCAGGCTGGTTGAGGCAAATAACACCCCCCCACTCCCACCGGGGTCTCCCTGAGGGACCAGCCTCTCAAGAAAAGAGAACTTGGCGGGGCAGGGGGTGGGCGGTGTGAGAAAAGGGACAGGGATTAAGAAAAACAAACTCAGAGGACACTGCGGTAAATGTCCTCTGAGCGAGATGGGACGGAGGACGTAGAAGGTGAAGGGGGACACATGGTGACGGAAGGAGGCTTGACTTGGGTGGTGAACACACAGAACAGTGTACAGATGATGTTTTACAGAACTGTACACCTGAAACCTGTGTGATTTTATTAACCAGTGTCACCCCCAATAAATTCCATGAAAAGGAAAAGAGAGAGAGAGAGAACTGGGAGCCAGTACTGCCAGGGCTGTGGGCAGCAGATTTGGGGTGAAAGGCCAGGAAAATGGAAATTCTGTCCTTCCTGAGGCACTGCATGGGCTGGGCCTGGCTTTGTGGAGGCTGTGAGGTGTTTGGCCTCCTTTTCCAAATTCCAGAGGCTCCCTGGCTGAGCCTCCAGCACCTGGGCCTTCACCGCCGTGGGGGTGGGGTGCTAAGGAAAGAGGGACAGAGACCCCCCCTCCCTGGGAGCTCCTAGCGTGAGCCCGCAGTCTGAGGGAGGAAATAGCTCCCTGCCCTCTGAGTGTGCTGAGCCTTGTTGCGATGCCCCCTCCTTGCCCCCAGGGAGCCCCCACTTTGATGGGGACATGTGCCCCTGCCCTTGGTGAACTTCCTGTCTGACAGGGAGCTACAGCTACTGCTCTCGGGGTCCCCCCAGCACAGGGTAAGTGGCAGGGCCCTGTCTCCTCAGGGCAGGACACCTTTCCTCCTCTCCCCCCCTCCTCTGGGGGTCTTTGGCTTTGCGGCTGCCTCTGCCCCCAGGCCACGGAGCGCAGCCCTCAGGGACTGGCTTGGGGAAAGCAGTTTTGTTCGCCATCTCAACGTCTTGCCGTCCCGGGCTCTGCATTCGGATCAGGAATGGGATTCAAGTTCATTGGCTTGGCTCCCCTTGGAGGACGCCCTACCGCCACCAGCTTCTTTATCTCTGTGGGAAACCTCTTGGTGACTTGAGTCAGGATGGCCTTGGGGCTGAGGCTCTGGCTGGAGTGACTCTGCAGCGTGTCACTGCCACTTCTGTTCACTACACCCACTCGAGGGCCAGAACTCCAGCCTCCTGCCACACACAGCTGATGAACTGAGCTTCTTTCAAAGGTAAACCCAATCGTGTTGCTTACCAGCTCAGCCCCCTCCAGCACTCACACACAACCGAACTCTTGGCTGTGCATTGCAGGGGGACCTGGCATGGGCTGGCCTCTGCCCACCTCTCCCACCTCTGTCTTACTGCTGTGCCCCCAACACTGACCAGCGTTCTGTTTTTTCTCAAACCCGGCAAGCTCATTCCTGCCCCAGGGCCTTTGCACCTGCTATGTTCTCAGCCTGGAATGCTCTCCCTTCCCCACCTTATTATCCCAGGGTTGATTCCTTCACATTTTCCATGTCTGATTAAATGCTGCCTCCTAGAGAAACCTTCCCTGGCCACCCAATCCTAGTGGCCCCCAACATATTTTCTGGGCAGGGGTTACCGTTGTTCGGAGTGATCTTTATCTGCATTTCAGCTGTCTCTGCCCCGGGAACACACACTTCATGAGAGCGAGCCCCCGGACACTCGTTCATTACTGTCTTCCCAGCACCCAGACCCGTGCAGGCACAGAGTAGGAGCCCAGGGACACCTGACGAATGAATGAGACCGTGCCAGGAACCAGGCCTGGGCCGAGCTCCCCCTGACCCAGGTCTGCATGACCCTCACAGCAACTTCCACTTACACACAGGGAATTGAGGCCCAGGCCCGGGAAGTTACTGAGGACATGAGATTTGATAGCAGGTCCGATATCAAATACACGTTCTGTCCAGCATCGTCCTGCAGCTTTGGGCTTCTGTGCTCTTTACAGACAAAGTGGAGATGACAGGAAAGAGGAAGGGACACTCCCCAGACACTGCCCCTGGACCGGCCCTCAGGGATCAGGGCCTTCTCTCAAAACGTCTTCCTCCGGTTTTCTGCATTTACCACTATAACATTCACATTTCCCCACGTTCTCCCACAGTCCCTGTAAACGCCTTTGAATGGATGTGGAGCAGCCATTGTGTAGATGTGTCACTGACCCGACTGTCCCCTGTGACCGTGTATTTAGGTCGTTTCCAGTTCGCGTGCAGGACTTGTTTACATCCGAGTAACAACTCAGTGTCGCAGATGAGACCCCAGGGTCCGTGCGTTCTCTGTGTGGCCACGTGTTGCTGTGCTGAGCAGGGGGACAGATGGGCCTGAGGATCAGCGTCTGTGGTTGGAGCTCACGGTCCAGGGCAGAGGTTGCTGGGCAGGGCCACTGTGCTGCAGGCGGTGCCTGGCGGGGCCTCGGAGGATGGCATGCAAGGGGAAGTTCGGTGCGAGGGTGGGTGGGGTGCCTCATGGAAGGGGGACGTCACCCCAAAGGGGTGACAGAAGGCTGTTCCCAGGAGGGCACGTAACACATAAGTCCTGCTGAGGGCAGAGGTGTGGTCACGTGCTTCGTCCTGAGCATCCTTGTGGCCCAGGCTCTGGTTGGCCTGGGTGTGGGGAGGAAAGAGTGGAGGGCAAGCTGGGCCTGGAATGCCGAGTTAAAGAACTTGGACTTTGTTCTGCTGTGGATGCAAGTGCTGACTGTTTGTCTTCTCTTTTTTAAAAAAAAAAGCTTCTTTTTTTTAAGATGAAAATTATGTATACACCTACTTAAAAAATCAAATAGCATAGACTAGTTCCTCCCCAGTCCCGCTTCCTGGGAGAAAATACTTTCCGCTTGCTTCTGTTTTTAACTCACTGGCACTTTTCCTCAGGACTCAAACATGTCTGCTCGCCAGCTCCTGATTTATCCATTTCGGACGTTCGGGGTTGTCTCCCCACTGGGAGGGAGGAGGGTCTGGCTCACAGCGCCCACCTTCCTTCCCAATGGCTACGCTGGTTGCCTTCTACTCCATGTACTGCGTAGGCAGCTCCTCCCCCACTGACTTTCGGCTCTTTCCCTCGTGCACGGAGGTGTTCCAGAGCCAGTCCTGTCGACTCCCGAGAGCCAAGGGTGCGTGAATCTCTCTGTGCTCCTCATTCAGTGCTGTCGTGCGGGTGGCTTCAGATCGGCCCCCGTTAGCAGTATTTACACCACGGGAATTGGCAGACGTGACGCACCGGGACGCCCCTGTCGGTTAAACAGATACCGACACGCACTGCTGGGCCTCTGCCATTTCCTTCTAGCCTCAGCTGGTTCCGGCGCGGCCTCCAGGTGCGTGGTGGGCCCGGCCCAGCACCAACACCCCCCACTCTGTGTTGCAGCAAAGCTTCGAGGCGCACCAGGATGAGGCCGTGAGCGTGACGCACATGGTGAAGGCGGGCAGCGGCGTCTGGATGGCCTTCTCCTCCGGCTCCTCCATCCGCCTCTTCCACACGGAGACGCTGGAGCACCTGCAGGAGATCAACATCGCCACCAGGACCACCTTCCTCCTGCCGGGTGAGGCAGCTGCGGGGGCGTTGTCCAGGCCTGTGGAGGGAGGGAGGGAGCTGGTGTTTGTGGAGCACTTGCCACAGCCAGGTGGAGGTGCGTCCTGTCCAGCCCATGTCCTTAACCCGGTGACAGCCTTGGGTCGGCCTTGAAAATGGCCTCTGGGGGGAAAGTAGTGGTTTTAGAATTCAGACCCAGGCTCGTCATTTCAAAGCCCTTCTTGTTGTCACCGCTTGTCCCGCTCACCCGGTAGCACAGTGGGCTCGGGTTCCCGGGAAGTGAGGCTCTGAGCTCAGTGAGCTTTCCCGGTCACGCAGCCACTACAAAGCCACCTGGGTGGGAACCCAGGCCTGTCTCCACCTGCCACTCCTCAGGCTGGCGAAACAACCATTTCTGCCTCATCTCCTTCAGAACAAGGTGAAGGGAAAGAGAGAAGGCCAAGAAGGGGCTCTTACTTAGAGGTTTTTCTAAGAAAGGCAACTGCCCCTTTCAGTTCATTAGCTGGGATTTGGAGGTCGGGGGAGGTCCAAGGGCTTGGATAGCTTCCCCTTGGGGCCTGTGCTCCCACCTGCACAGCTGTTTGTGAGACGTGGTAGAGAGGGTTAGGTCAGAGCTCACGTAACACCCCGCCCCTGCCTTGTATCTGTTGAGGCCTCGGTGGAATTGGCCCCAGGTATCTCCCTTCCCATCTGCTGCCTGTGCCGCTGCCCAGACCCCTGCAGGCTGTGCAGGGGGAGCCAGGGCGGACACCTGGTCAGGGCCCACTCCTGTCTCCAGCCGGCCTTAGAGCAGTCCACGGAGCCAGCAGGCATCAGCTTGCCTTGCCTTCCTGCTTGGCCCGTCTTCCACCAGACAGACAGATTGACCCCTGGCTGGTCTGGGAGGACAGAGAAGCTCTGTCTTGTGTAAGCACTGCTGGCTGGACTGGTGTCAGCAGCTGGGAGAGACGAAGGGCCCTGGGGCTGGGGACACAGTGGGCGTGGCAGGCTGTGGGCCCAGCCAGGGGACTGGCCTCCCTGGGTTGTGCGGCTGGGTCAAGGGCAGGCACGCTAGCCAGCACTTCAGGGTCCGTGGGGCCTCAGTCTTACCCCAAAGGCCTGGTCCCAAACTCCAGATAGGGTGCCTGGAAATCACCCTGGCTCCTGCTTCCTCCTGGCTGGTCATGACTGTCCTAGAATCTGGGCTTGTGGCCACAGGGTCTAGTGGTTACTAACAACAAGGTCAATAACAAGTGGTGATGCTATAGGGTTATCTACTGTTCTGCCGTGAGCCCCACGGTGAGCTGGGTCCCAGGCGCTTTGCCTATGGGACCTCACTTCACCTTAACCCCACGAGGTGGGGGTTGGTCCCGCTGTGCAGGTACAGACGCTGAGGTTTGTTCGCCAGGGTCAGGAGGCTGGTCCGTGGTCTCATAGCCAGCCTGAGGCTGGACTGGGAGTCACAAAAGGTCAGACTCACTTCAGAGTCCCACTGTGAGTCAAGGGGCAAGAGAGGACTTCAGAGGTGGCCACAGTCCTGGCTGGACCACTGCTGGGTCTGGGGCAGGTCTGTTTGCCTCCGGGAGCCACTGGGCCCTCTGTGGGACCGGAAGTGGGCCTGGCTCTGGGTAAAGCCACCAGGCGTGGGAAGACACCTTGCTCAGGTGCCGGGTGTGGTAGGTACGCCAGGAGAAGAAATACCTTCCTGACATGTTCCCTAGGGACTGGCCGGGGCCTATGGAACCTGTGTTATGGGTCTTTTCTTTCTTTCTTTTCCTTTTCGCAGCTTTAGTTTTATTGTATTTCATAGGATTTAGCCATTATACAAAGCAAATCCATTTTAACTACGATAAATGTGTCTCTACATCACAAAAATAGTCCCACATTCATGCTGATAGCTAAATTATTGCAAGTTCGTGGAACAAGGAGAAACATGGGGAATCTCATGGGCCTTTCTCGTTCGGTCTCCTCTGTGCGGGGAGGGAGAGGAAGGATCACGGCTGTCCGGTGGCCAGCGGCTGGATTTGCAGACAGATCCAGCCGCAGGTGGAGAAACGGCAGCTCCCCCCGGCCCAGCTCCGACTCGCTGTGGGTGTTTAACGTGTCTTCACGCCCACCGACTGACTGGTTCTGTGCAGCTCCCCTTTCAAAGGGAAGCGGGTTCATCAGCGTGATGACTATTTCCAAGCCAGGTAAACTGAGGCCCAGGAGGTTCAATGGCCTGCGGTCTCACCGCCGACGAGGCTGGAGCCAGCATGTGAATCGTACCTCTCTCACACTTGTACCTGGCAGTGTCCCCTTCTCTGGGCCTCAGTTTCCCCCTCTCTACAATGAGGGGCTGAGGTTTGAGTCAGGGCTTGGCCGGGCCATGTAGGGCAGACCAGGGTCTGGAAGGGGCAGCCCCACTGGGGACCTGGCTGTGCCGCCATTCAGCCCTGTGACTGGGAGCAAGTGAGGAACCTCTCTCGTCCTTGGTCCCTGCCTCTCAGGGAGGTGTGGGGCTGAGGGGAAGCGGTCCCTGGCTCAAGTAAGTCTCAGGTCCCGATGGTACGTCATCACATGGGCCCTTTTTGGCCACGCATCTCTGGAGGGGCTCCTTGAGCAGCCCCCACCCTCTGAGTCTCTGCCCGTCCCACCTCACCAGCTACGTCAGCGCAGACAGGAGCCGCCCTTCTGCTTGCTGGAGCTCTTTGGGGCTGGCCCTGGCCGTGTTCGGGGCAGAGTCTGAGGTTCAGAGTGTAGGGCTTCCCGGAGGCCCCCAGGAGTTCCTGCCCTGGGCCCCTCCAGCTTCACTCCCAGGCCTGACTGTTCCTAACCCCCAAACCCGAGGGGAGCTGGGCCTCAAATCCACCCCAGCCTGTGCCTCAGCCGCAGAGCAGCAGGGCAGGGCCCTTAAATTCTGTATTAGCAATATTTAAAAAAGGCTTTTAAGTATTTTTCTTCCCCCACACCAGCAAATGAAATAATTGCATAATTAGTAAAAATTTGTTCCTCCTTTAAGCGTGGGTTTTTTTTTTTTTTTTAAGGGAACGTTAAAAATTTATCACACTTGCTTCCCCGACCCCTGTCTCCCACTCATGTACCCGGCTGGTATTAATGCATTTTTGAATCTAAACTCCCTCCTCCTCTTAACCAGACAGGTCATTAATAAAATGTTCTCCGAGAGCCTGAGCTTTTTAAAGTTGTATATCTCCAGATAGATGGCTTGGGTGAGTTGCACACTGCCGCATTAAGTCTCTGTGATAAAATATTTATCCACCATTAGAATTTTTTTCCTCGGACTGTTTGTGAAGTGCCTCGCTCCATTCCTCTAGGCGGACGGGGGAGGGGCAAGGGCCCGGGAATGAGGCCTGAGATGAAGTCATTTCTCAATTCCAGCATCTCGTCTGGTCCTTTGCTGCCTTCCTTTCCCTTGCAGGGGTTCGCCCGTCTGGCGGTGGAGGGGTGGGGGGCCGCGAGGACGCAGGGGCAACAGGAAGTGGTCTCCTCCTGGTCTCCAGGGCCCCTCGGGGCTCTGGAAAAGTGAGTGAGGCACCGAGATGAAAAATTTGCCATCGTTCTCTCCCTTGGCCTTATTGTTTTCGCAGGTTTATGGCTCTGGTGGAGCTGGTCTGAAGACATTAGAGTGTAGGTCCTTTTAATAATTATAGCTGTTACTCTAATAGCCTCCATTTATTGATTGTATATGAAGGCTAAGAGCTGTACGCAACTGTGTGTATATATATATTATACCTCATATATGCTGTATATATTCTAATAATCATAAAACCGAGCAAGGTAGATTTGTAATATTCATCGATCAGTGAAAGTGACTTATTAATTCAAACAGTAAGTGACATCAACACCCATGTCCTTTTTCACTTTCTGCATTCATTCACTCGCTTGTTAGCTCGCAGAGACTTTTTGAGTGTCCGCCAGGGAGCCGGGGCGTTGACTTTGAGCACATGGATAAGTCCCTGCCCTCATGAAGCTTCCATTTGACGGCAAACAGTCGTTAAACAAAGGGACGGACGGTGAGGGCAGTTGTAGACCTTGGCCAGGGCCGGGAGGGAAGACCTTGGGAGTGAGAGGGAGCTCTCGGCCCGAGCTGCTTGCTGTGGTTTCCTGAGGGCCGGGGGGCCATTGTGCACTGGGAGGTGTCCTAGTAGTTGGAGCCTGCACCGTCTGCAGTGACACAGGTGTGGGGCAGAGTCCCGCCGCTGCCACTGCTTGTGAATTAGTCTATTGTCAAGTGATGAACTGGCTGTTTTTCCCAATGTGGTTTGTGTTTCTCTGGAATCAACACTATGAACATGACTTTCTCAGTTTGCGTCATGTCCCCAGACTCATGTATCCCACTGCCTGCTGGCAGCTCCCCTTGGCTGTCGGCTGTGCCTCTCACACAACACGTCTGGTAGAGAACTTGGCCTTCCACCCCAAGCCTGCGCCTCCCCCATCTCAGTCAATGGCACTGCCATGTCCCCAGCTGCTGGAGACAAAACCCTCGGAGTCTTCCTTGATTCCTCTCCTTTTCTCTCCTCCTGCTCTAGTCTGGAAGAGGTCTGTCGTTCTGCTTCAAAACAGACCTCGAACCTGCTGGCTTCTCGTTTTCTCCTTGTCACCACTGTGTCCTGGCCCCCACCACCTCGCCTCCTCTCCCCTCCTCATCACACTGCTAAAATGCTCCTCTGGAATGAGTCTCTCACTCACCTGCTTAGACCTTCTGGTAGCTTCTCATCACACCCAGAATGAACAGTCACAGTCCTGACCTGTCCACCCTCCTGGCCTCCCTCCGGTCACCTCGAGCTTGCCCACATTCCCCAGGCTGCACTGGCTTCAGTCTGCTCTGCTGACCCGCTGAGCTCATTCCTGTCGCAGGGCCTTTGCACATGCTGGCTCCTGGGCTTCTGCTCAGGTCTCAGTGTGGTTGCCTCCTCTTTGTCCTCCTGGTCTCAAATCTTCCTGGAAGTGGACTGAGGCGTGAAACCCCGGGAGTCTACCCCCTGCCCCACTCTTCCCATAACCCATGCGGATCTTCTGCCTGATGTTTATGTCCCTCGTCCATGTTTTCACCTCCCCTTTCCCCTCTCCAGTGCTGCACTGGTATGGTAGACACTACTAAAATAAAATGAAGCGAGAAAATGAGTGCCCCTGTCCCACTAGCCACATTTGAAGTGCTCAGTAGTCACGTGTGGTTAATGGCTACATAATTGGGTGGCTTGGTAGAGACTGTTAGCATCAGGCCAGAAAGTTCTAGAATGTTTGCTCCTCAAGAGTAGAACTATGTGCGTGCAGCTCCCACTGTGCCTCCAGCTCTGAGTGCAGAGTCCGGCACACAGTAGGTCCTCAGGGATGCCCCAGGGTGGTGAGCGAATGGATCAGTGCCGGTACAGCACACAGCATTAGACAAGGCTGTGTGAGCCCCAAGATAGGAAACCCTGCTTCCTGGGTGACTGCAGAGCCCCACTGTCCCCCGGAGACTGTTCACTCTGCAAGGGCGGCCCTCGCACCTGCCTACGCGCGTGGCCCTGAAGCCATCTGCGTAAGAGCGGAGAGGCAACTGTAATAAGCAGAGGCCTGAGCGAGGCCCTTCACCCTGCACTCACCAGCTGGGAGAACTCTTTGGACCTTAACATCGTCCTCTGGAAAATGGGTGTGACATCTGTCCTGCAGGCCTCTCCGACGTTGCAGGGCTGGCGTCAGAGCAGAGCTAGCACAGGGGTGCTGCCGACACTCCAAAGCAGGACTTTCCTCAAAGTGCGGTCCTGGACCGGCTGCTTTGGTGCCACCTGGGAACTTGCTGGAAGCGCAGGTTGGAGGCCTCACCCCTCGGGGTTGGCCCTGGGTGGTGAGCCCTCCTGTGGCCCCGATGCCGCCTGGGGTGGGGCCCGCTGCTCCCAGCGTCATTTCACGTGTCACGTGGTGGTGTTACTGCCGAGATATGGGGCAGGAGTTGGAATTTCCTTTGAGGGGAGAGTCAGCTCCTCTTGGTGGGGCAGAAATATTCAGGCAAGAAGTGATCAAGACAGCCCTCTGCAGAGGCAGGGGTCCGCTCCTGGCGTTTGCCTCCTGCCCACTCTCACTGACCGGAATTGTAAGCAGTGGAGCAGCAGCGACAAAGGCAGCCAGCAGCGACAAAGGCAGCCAGCACCCGCCTGTGCACACCCTGTGCCCAGCACTGGCTTAAGTGAGCGACACTCATCGACCCATTTCATCCTCAGGGCAAGGCCATGAACGTCCTCGCTGTCCGCTCTGGCACGTGAGGAACCCGTGGCACAGGGAGGTTTAGGGACTGGCCCTGGGTCACGTAGCCAGGAGGTGGTAGAGCTGGGTCTGAATGTGGCGTCTGGGCCTGGAGCGCTGCTCCAGCCGCTGCGGTGTAGCCCACACCGTTCTTCCTCCCTGTAAAGAGCAGCTCGACCCTGCCTGCCGTCGCATTTTTCTGCAGTGGAGAGACAGCACCCAGGGGACAGCCAACAAGAATAATGTGGGCCGACATCAAAAACACGCTCGTTCCTGGCACTGAGTCGTCCATTTCCCTCTCGGCCCGGGGACTGCAGGGCACACTGAGCCCTCCCTGGAGGAAGGGCCCGCCTGGGCAAAATGTCAAGCCCCCCGGCTGGAAATTCAGGGGCTGTGATAGTTTGCCAATTCCCCCCCTGCTTCTTGGATCTACCCCGGCCCCTCTCCACGCATCCTGTCTGTGCCAACACCCTCCCCGCCCTCAGACCCCCACCTTCCCAGGCCTCCCTGGTCTTACTGCCCAGGTGGCTGGTTGTGACCCTGGTGTGGGCTGCCCAGGGTCTGCCCTTTGTGCCAGAGGACACAGCCCCTATGTGTGGGAACAGACAGGGGCCAGCACTGTGCCCTATGGCATTGCCCCACGGAATCCTTGCAGCAGCCCCGAGTTCCATGGGAGGAAACCGAGGCTGGGTGAGGGGAGCGCTAACTCGGGGACCCAGGGGCCGGACCCCAGCCCTGTCAGCCTCCCAAGCCCTGGATCTGAACCACACCCTATCCAGCCTCCCGCTCGTCTCCTGGGCGGAGCCTGGACTCTACCATGTCTTCAGTTCGAGGTGGCCTGGAGCCTACTGCTGTCCCTGGGATGGTGTGCTGCTCACACTGGCCCCTCTCTCTGCAGGCCAGAAGCACCTGTGTGTCACCAGCCTCCTGATCTGCCAGGGTCTGCTCTGGGTGGGCACCGACCAGGGCGTCATTGTCCTGCTGCCTGTGCCTCGGCTGGAAGGCATCCCGAAGATCACAGGTGAGGTTCTGGGAGTCGGCTGCAGACGGCGGGGCCGGGGGGCGGGGGAGGTGGGACGGTGAATCAGGCCCAGATGTGTCAGCGGCATTTCCCACAGTCCCCCAACTTTTTTCTGAGTCTCCAGTTCCCAGCCTGGCCAATGGGCACAGCAGTGAATATTGGCTGAGACTCCTGATTGGCTGATGGCAGAGGCTCTGCCGGGCCCCTTCTGCTCCCCTCCCTGCACAGCAGCTTCAGAATGTGCAGGCTCCAGAGACAGAAACAGCCGAGGGCCCTTGGGGTGGGGGCCGGGTGCAAACGTGTGTGTGCACGGAGTGGGGGTGGCTCTGTTCTGACCGGTGGCACTGGGGCCCAGGCGGGTGAGGGCGGGGTCAGGAGGACCCCAGGGCCCTGGGCCTCTCTCTGCTTCTCAGAGAGTGAGACAAAGTGGCCGGAGAGTGGGGGTGAGTGGGGGGAGGAGCCCTGACGGCAGGCCAGCGCTGGCCAGATCTCGAGCTCTCCGCTAAAGAAGTCTCTCGATTCTGCGATTTCCTGCTTTCGTCAGATAGGTCGTGTTGTCCTTCCCAGGCCGGGTCCTGGGCTTGCGGGGATGTACCAGGCACAGCCCCTGCCTCCAAAGTGTGGCAGTCTGCTGAGGGCAGCTGCAGTCCAGGGTGGCAGGTGCTGAGGTGGGTGGCCTGGGGACTGCGGCTCAGAGGCAGGAGCGGTCAGCTCTCCAGGGGTGAATTGCAGAAGGATGTGCGGTGGAGGGGCCGGAGCTGGGCTTCCAAGGATGAGTCACAGAGTTACGTGTCTGGCAAAGGGACTTCAGGTGGAGGCAATGACTTGGGAAAGGCAGGGAGCTGCAGGCCCTTTCACCCTGAGCTTCCCCGGGGTGGTTTTGAGGCCACTCCTGCCCTCCTGCTGCGAAGGAAGAGGCCCTGGAACACGGGAGAGCCTGACCCAGACCCTTGGCTCTCCAGCAAGGTTCCAATGTAGATTGCAGTTACCCAAAACAAACAAACAAATAAACCCGCAACCAGAAGGTTCTCCCAGAGATGTGTGTGTGCGCTTCACGTAAAGCTCTGGACCTTTGGGCCCCTTCTCTCTTCCCCATTTCCGCAGGGAAGGGCATGGTCTCCCTCAACGGTCACTGTGGGCCTGTGACCTTCCTGGCTGTGGCTACCAGCATCTTGGCCCTCGACATCCTGCGGAGTGACCAGGAAGAGGCGGAGGAGGACAGGCCAGACGGGCAGGCTCCTGAGCCGGCACCCGCACCCCCCAGTCACGTGGGCCGAGAGCTGACCCGCAAGAAGGGCATTCTCCTGCAGTACCGCCTGCGCTCCACCGCCCACCTCCCGGGCCCGCTGCTCTCTGTGCGGGAGCCCGTGCCCGCCGACAGCTCGGCCCTGGAGCACAGTGAGGAGGACGGCTCCATCTACGAGATGGCCGATGACCCCGACGTCTGGGTGCGCAGCCGGCCCTGCGCCCGCGATGCCCACCGCAAGGAGATCTGCTCCGTGGCCATTATCTCGGGTGGTCAGGGCTACCGGAACTTCGGCAGCGCCTCGGGTGTTGGTGGGAGGCCGGCCCCTGGGGAGACGGACAGCACCCTCCTCATCTGGCAGGTGCCCCTGACGCTATAGCCGCCGCCCAGGGCCACAGCTGCAGCCACGCCGGGCCCTCGGGCCCTCCAAGGTCCCCCAGGGAGTGCAGATGGAATCGCCTTTCAGGGACCTGCACGGGGCCGTGAGGCCGGCCCTGGGTCTCTAGTAGCTGTCTTGGCAGAGCAGAGAAAAACCTCTTCTTTTTTAGGGGAAAAAAAAACTTAGAGTGTTCGGGGAAGGGGGCTAGGTTTGTGGAAAGGAAAGACTCCTCTGGAGGAAATGGCCTTTTAAAACACAAAACACAAAACCTCACAACTGCCTGGCAAGCCCCGCGCCTCCCGCCTGGGCCGAGCGGGGCTCAGAGGCGGCCACGCGCCCCTCCTGGAGGAGAGTGAGTGGGCTGGTGTGTGAATATATATAAATACGTATATATGGTGTATATTATCTGTGTGTAAATAAAGTCTGTACATATTGGAGCCGTGGGAGATGCTGGAATAAAGGGCAAGGATAACGCAGTTCTTGGATGGAGGGGCTTTTTCTTGGTGGGATGTGACGGGTGGGACACGGAGGGACACGGAGGGCTGCTGTCACCATTGGGGGGTCGCTCTGAGGCAGGAGTGACACCGCCCTCAGTAGGCAGGACCGAGGCCAGGCACCGGAAGGGCCTGTGACAGGAACAGGCCCCAGCACTGTGCTGTGTGAGGTGGTCGTCATTGGTCACAAATGAGTTTACTTTTTTAAATTAATGAATTAAAACTCAATTAAAGGACAGATTCAGTTTCCCAGTCTTCTGAGCTGCATTCCCAGGGCGGCTTGAAGAGCCCCACAAGGTGAGGGCCACAGTATTGAACACGGAGGTGACTTTCTATCATCCCAGAAAGTTCCCTTCTGCTCAGCAAGGGGCTCCTGGGAGTTTCTTTTCTCAATATGTTTTTTGGGGGAAAAAAAGGCTGGCTCCCAGCTCTGCAGTGATAAGAAGGCAGGCGGACTTGGCTTTGCCAACCTGGGAGAGCAGGAGGCTGAGGGCTTCCCCGTGTGGAAGGCGGGCCTGGGGCTGTTGCTGTGGGCCACAGAGCGAGGGGGGCAGGGCTGAGGTCTAGGTGGTGGGAGCAGAGCCCAGGCTGTGGTGGGGATCGGCAGGGGGGGCTGCCCAGGGCCCCGGCTTCCCTCATCCGGCTCAGTCTCCATCCTTCTATCTCTAGAGCTGCCTGCACGGAAATCAAAACAAAACAAAACAAAACACCAAAACCCAAACCCACCACCCAAAAGGGAAGTGTTTTCTCCCCCTTCCCACTCATCCACCTCTCTCTCGTCTGTCTGCGTATCTGTCCATCCACTTGTCTGTCTGTTCTCCTTCCCACACACCCCAACGGCAGCAGCACTGGGGCACAGGAAGGGAAGCAGAGATCCACAGAGATGGGGGGCAAACCTCTTAACTGGGCCCAGCTCCAAGTTCAAAGGCACTCTGGTGGGAACCCTGTGAGAAGAGCCACCATGGAGAGGACATTTCGGCTGGGTCCTAACCTGGTGGGGTCGCACCCACTGGTGCTCACTCAGTCACATGTTTTGAAAACCCCTCGAACTTCTGCTGGACTCAGGTACTGTGTTCATTGCTGGGGCTTCAGAGGTAAGTGAGGGAGTGGGGTCGCCCCTGCCCCCAGGAAGTACATGGTTAGAGGGTAGGGCAGGCACAGGTGTGGCCTTGGCGGAGGGGGAGGGACTCGGAGGGGGAGGCCTACGCAGAGGTGGGGTGAGTAGTGGTTGGCTTTATTGCCAGAAGGCAAGTTGTCCAGGGTGGGTCCCTGGCAGGGGCAGGGAGCCGTGTATGGAGGAGCCATGGCCATGGGCACTGATCAGCGATGTTCCATTCCAGTGGGGCCCATCTGCTCTGGGCCTCAGTTTCCCATTTTATATCAAAGGGACCCTCACTTCTGTCCTGCCACCTCTCATGGAAGAGGAGTGTCCTACCCAAGTAAAAGTGGGACGAAGAGCTCTGTGCTCAGGTTCACTACCAATGTGTCTGGCTGTAGCTCCTAGGGGGTGCCTTCATCCCATTCATCGACTGTCAGTCAAGACTTCCTAGAACAAGGACTAGTGAGCAGAGGCTGCTTGGGACAACGAGCAAGTCCGGGACCCGGCAGGCCCGTGTGCAGGTCCCACTCCGCCGAACACCCACTGCGTGCCTCCGTTTCCTCATCTCTAAAACGGACGGCACCTTGCACAGTTGCTATGGACGAGCTTTGGCCCCTGAACACGGGTGTGGATGTTAGCAGTTTGATGGGGAGGCAGAGCCACTGACCTGGGACATTCCCAGTCTGGGGTCATGGGGGGAGGTCCATGTGCGTCTCAGGAAGCTCCCAGTCTGATGGAGAACTCACAGCCCCTCTCGCCTAGTTGGCTGCAGAAGCCGCTAGTCTGAGGGGGAGACAAGGGTCCGTCCCTAAGGACCCGTATCTGATGGGGGAGACGTAGCCTAACTCGGTGGTGAGGAAGGTACCTTCCTGCCCGGAGAAGACCTGGTCTGGTGGGGGAGTCTCCAACCAGCTGGTGGAGACCTCCGGGCTGAAGCGGAAGATACGTCCTTGGCCTCCAGGTGCTCCCAGTCTTACAGGGAGACGGGACCCTCACCCATGACGAGACTTAATAATAAGACAACGGCAGAAACTTTTTAACAACGCGGACCTAATTACAGCACTGCTGAACTGCCTAAGTTCCTCATTTGCACTTTCCTGGGAACCGTCAAATAGCAAGAATGTGTAAATTGAGGAAAATTAATATAATTACCTGAGCTATTTCTTGTCATCTTTTCCTATTAACAGAAACCACAAATGTTTCCTGGTGAGAAGGCCGGTCGGATGGACTCCCTCCTCGAGGCAGGCAGCTGGCTCCCTCTCTGCAGGGAGCAGGTTCCTGCAGGTGTCCCAGGTGTGAGCTCTGGAAACCAGCCTGCGGGACAGATGGGCCAGTGGGCCAGGCTGTGGGGTGGAGAGGGTGTCTGGGCCTGGAGTCAGGAGATGTGGGTGCGAGGTTTGGTGCCGGTGTGAAGGTGATGCACAGGTGCATGCACCTCTGCGAACCCAAGTCTTGCCCAATACTAGTCCCAACATGCTGAGGTCTTGTTGGGTCCAGGGACTGGTTTAGTGTCTTATGCCCCTCACTACACTGAATCGTCACAACCACCCCAGAGGAGGTTCTGTTATTCTCCCTACCTTACAGATGATGAAACTGAGGCTCAGGGAGGTGAAGTCACTTGCCCGGTGTCACACAGCACAGAAGAAGACCTCAGGGCTGTGGGTCATAATCCTGCTGCCCCGTCCTTGGCCCATTTCCTGGCCCCACCCTCCCCACTCTGCCACCCAAGGACCCTGTGTGAGGACAGGTGCCCGAACGCCAATACAAACCATAGGATGTTTGCAAACCCTTATCCTTGGTCTCCTCTTCTAGAACTTGGGGATATTAACAGCATTGACCACCTAGGAGGTTTCGAGGATGAAATAAGTTAATTTATGTTAAACACTCAGAGCAGCTCCTGGCCCATAGTGAGCCCTCATTAACTTGATTATCATCTCACACAGGGTCCCTGCCTGGTGTCTGTACTCGAGACGCTCCCAGTAGAGTGTTAAGCACACAGGCACGCCGTGAAGCCCCCAGCCCCTTCTTCAGAGAGGCATAGCTCTGCTTTGGCCAGCTCGGAGAACCCAGCAGTTTGTGCAGGAACCTCTAACAGTTTTGCTGGCTTAGGACCCACGAATGGCGGCATCACTCACCGAGCATTTTGGGAAATGAAGGCAAAGTGCGATAAACACCATAGTGACAGAGGCTGCTGGTTGGGCCCAGAAAATAGATGGTGTGTTTGCAGAAAACAGACTTGCGATTGAGCAAGTGATATTCCCGAGTAGGTTTCATTCATTCACTCACTCACTCACTCACTCATTCATTCATTATTCATTCACTCATTCATTCATTATTCATTCACTCATTCAGCAAGTGTCTGCTGCTGGCTGCTGTGTGCCAGGTTCAGGGTAGGGCTCTGGGGCCAGGGCACCGAATAAGCAGACATTGTCTCTGGCTCCCTGGAGCAGAGCCTCCAGCCTCATGGGCAACCCAGAATTGGAAAGAGAAGGTTCACAAAGGCCCCACATGTAGGGAAGAGAACATCGGCTTGGGGCTCCCACAGATGGGGGTCTTCCCCTTGTCTGTCACGGTTTCCAGGGCTGGAAGGGGGTGTAAGACGCTGCAGCCCAGGGTAAAGCAGCCCACGCGTGTAAAGTGCTCAGCACTGGACCTGCTCACTCGGTGTTAGTGCTTTTTAGTGGTGATGGTGTTAATAAGAGGCCTGCCTGGCAGTCAGCACGTGGATCTAGGGGGGGGCTGGGGAGTGCCTTCTTCCGGGGCCCCACCTGGAGGGATGGGAGACCCTCTGTGAAGCCGGACTCTCTCGGCCAGCCCAGTGCTGTGGGCTCCTGGTTCCAGGGACTGGAGGGCTGTGGCCCAGGGAGGCTGGGGGGTCCCATCTCCATTCCAGAAGGTCTGAGTTCTTGTCAGCCTGAACCTAATTTTGACGGACAGACATGATCTTTTCCCCCTGTTATTTCTGCTGAATTAGGTGACCAGGCCTTTTTCTTCAGCAAATGCGGGGATGTGCATTTTCATGCTGTTTTGCATAAATCAGGAACCCATTTGCATCCATTTGCATGTTTCACTGGATGTGAGACTTAAGAGGCTCAAACTTAATGTGTGTGAAGTGAAGTCAGTGTGTTGAGTTCACTCCCACCGCAGCTGGCCTGACCTCACAGCTGGGATGCAGGGACTCAGAGGGGCCAGCCGTCTCCGTGGGATGGTAAGACCAGGGGAGGACTCTGGGGCCAGCTCTCCCCAGTGCTGCTCAGGACTGAGGGGGAAGGAGAGCTCTGGGAAACTGGCTACAAAGAAGCTAAAGAAACAGATGAAACTGCAGGGCAGGGCGTCCTCGATGGCCTATCACAGACTGTGGGACAGGTCTGGACAGGAGGAGTGGTGGCGACCCTTCCAATGGTCCTCACGTTCCAGCATCTTCTGCGTGCCAGGCCCTGGACTGGGCTCATGACACGTGATAGTCCATTTTCTCCTGAGAGCCTCACAAGGTGGGGGGTTAGCTCCTCTTCAGAGACAAGAGAACCGAGGTGCAGAGAGCTGCAGTAACCCATCCAACACCACATGACTGGTTTTGGGGGGCCCTGGACTCAAACACATGCCAGTTTGGGTCCAGACCTTTCTGCCACGATCAGGGAGAGAGAACCCCAACCTTTGCCAACCCTCGAAGTCCCTGAGCACCTCTCGCCCAGGGGAAGGCCCTCTCTTCTTTTCCTGTGTTTTGTGTGATGACCTCACGAAGAAGGAACCCATGCCTCCAGAATGGCCTGGTCTCCATGACAACAAACACACAGCCAAGTGGCAGGCCAGCCCCAGGGAGGGGTAGGGGGTGGCTTCCTTGAGGAAGGGGCCCTGGCACAAGCCTGGCAGTGAGCAGGCCTCT